ATCTGTAAGAAAGTCATATATAAAGGCACCCTAAACCCTAAACCCTAAACCCTAAACCCTAACCCCTAAACCCTAAACCCTAATCACGCTGACATGTGGGTCGCCTTGGGGTCCATTCCATTACAGTATGGTTACATGGGTCTATAAGCCGATAATCGTCTTGCGACTTCTCCTGACCTTCATGAGACCTCTCCAGATCCCTTTAAGGGCCTGTATTACAGAGGTCTTGGGTTTAAATTTAGGGTTTAAGGCGTAGGGAAAAGCCTGTACTCCACAACTCATAATATTCAACTATGCGTGTTAGAAACCCCGACGCACTACTCGAGCCCTTTCAGTAGCTCCGAACCCCGAAACCTAAACCCCAAACAGCGAACACTAACTAATTAAACCCTAGTCCGGAACCCCTAAACCCAAAACCTAAGCCCTCGACTCCTAAACTCTACACTCCGAAATCCTACAGCCCTACCCTAAGGGTCCATGTACCCAAATAATAGATACTTTGGCCTTAAAAGTAGAGCCTGTTTGGGTACTTTGGGGCCAAAGTACTTCGTATTTGGATACTATACATGGACCCTTAGAGCTAAACCCTCTAATCCCCTAAACCCCTAACCCCTGAAACGCTCCGAGGGGCTGCGCTGCAGCCGCTACTGCAGCTTCCGCAAGATTCCGATGAATCCTTAGGAAGCAACAGGCGACGGACCCAGGATCAGGGTTAAGGCTTTAGGGTTTTGGGGTTTTAGGGTTTAGGGTTAGGAGGTTGGGGTTCAGGGTTCGGGGTTCAGGGTTTAGGGTTTTAGGGGTTTGGGGTTTAGCGTTTAGGGTTCAGGGGCTGCTGTACGGTTCAAGGTTGAGATTTTCGGGTCTAGTGTGCAGGGCATCAGGGTTTTGCGTGTACCTGTAGTCTCCATGCTGAACCGAAATAAGGAACTACAATGAAGACTATATAGGTAGGGGGTTCGCTCGAGGTTCCGATTCAGGCTTCTATTCAGAGGGCTTCACAGAGCTTCATGAAATCAGGTCCTAGGGAAACCCTAAACCCTAAAGCCTAAACCGTGGTAAGCTTTAATCATAAACATACCCTGAGCCCTGTTCCTCTCTTCTCCAGTTTCCAGACCACATACGGCTCAAACTTTACAAGATAGACCCAGACATATAACACGGCCAACAAGTTTAACCTTCCCCCATTGGCTATCTAAAGGTTCAGGGTTTGGAGACCTGTTTATGCTGCTTGGGGTTTTGCCTTTCGGCCCAAGGATCTGATGGTTCAAGCTGTAACAAACGGAAGGCCAGAAAGCTGGAACATGGTTTAAGAGGATTAGTGCTAGGCTGCTAGGATCGCTTACACCTTGCCTGGAGGGCATGAGGATAAACATGTTCCAGTTCTCTGGCGAAAAGCGACTCTAATTTCGAGAACTACGCATATAGTGTTTGGAATTACCTAGGGCTCCCCTGCCACTTACGATGCTCCGATTCAAAAACCCTAAACTCCGAACCCCACCTCTAGTCTCTGTTGTAGTTCCGTTTTGTGGATGTTTCGATATTTCGAATATGCGGGTAACTGTCAAAATCATGTCAAAGGGCCCGATACAATTCGACTCTTAATACGGCAGCCTAAACCACTAAACCCTTAAACCATACACCCTGAACTCCAAACCCTGGGCTTGACAACCATCCATGCATGTTAGGATATATCCAGAAGAGGCCCGGGGCTCCGCAGTAGGGTGTAACAAGTTTCGGGTTAGGTTTTGGGTTTAGGGTTTAGGGTTTAGGGTTTAGGGTTTAGGGTTTAGGGCTGAGCCTTGTGGGCGTAGGTCAGACAAACTCAGACTCCGCGCAAATGGAACCCTCAAATCAAAGCACCACAAACCCCCTACACAACTCGAAATGAGCCCTTTAAGGAACCAGTGTAGTACACTATAGTATGAACCTACTCTGAATTCTACATGCCCACCCGGCTGTAAACCCTATACCTGTAGAAGCCCAAAACCCTGTGAAAGGAAAGCTCTGTGCTGAAGGTTCGGAGAGATGTCTTCAAACTTCGAACGTCGCAAGCAAGATGGAATACAAGTGCTTGTATAATGAAAACAGGCTTAGGGATACCTTAACCTCACCATCAACATAACAAAGAACCCTAAGTAATACACATCGAAACTATTCCGATCCCTATATTACCGGCAGGGCCTCGATTCATAATCACCGCTCGTGAGCAGCGATGTTCGATGACAAGGCCATTAAAAAAGGGTGCTTGCTGAAGAGGTATTAGAAACGGATGAACGACCAAAGTTGGGGTAAGAAGCCCTAAACTTAGGCTCCAATGACACACAGGGTTGTAGGATTTAGGATCTTGGAGATCTTGCGTCTTCGGGTTTAAACAAGGTAGAGTTGGGGTATAGAATTTGAGCCCTTTTTCAGCTATTGGTGTTATCTCGTCTAGGATCTAGGCCCTTGCATCTTAAAATCGGAAGCTATGTATTGAGCCCAGACCCATGACGATCTACCCGATCTACCCTCTAAAAACCAACACCCCTGTGAGTTCCCGGGTGCTCCCCATCACCCCCGACATCTACTATTGTAATTTTGCTTGTGTTATCTTGTAGGTTCCTAAATATGAAACTGGTTGAACCCCAGAAGGAACTACGATGCAGACTATAGGTCACCCGTGGTAATCCCAAAACCCCTCTGAACCGATCACCGGGCCAACAAGATTAAAGTTCTTCCTCTGCTATCAAAAGTACTCCATGGCCATCCATAAACCGTAAACCCGACCTTGCCGGCAGGGTGCGGCTTCAATGCCGTGGAGAACTTCGAGTGGGCCATCCGCCCGGGGCAGTCCCCTGAGAGATGTCACAAGATGTGGATATACGTGACATCACGGCTTCGGATTTAGGATGTGTCGGTAGGGTTTACTTTATCTCTTAAACCCTAAAGCATACTACAACGTAAACCTTAAATCCTAAACTCTAAACCGTGTCTTAATGAGGATGAAACATGTGAAAAGCGTAGCACTCCGGAACTGAATGGTTGATATCTTGTGGCAACACAGAGACTCCCAAAGCCCTGAATTAATGAATATACCTTTCATGATAATTGGGGCTCGTACTATGTTACTATGGGTGTATTCCTTAGGGAACAGGAGATATATGCCGGACATCATAATTGGGGTACCTACTTTGATTTCAGGGTATATTCCTTGATTAATGAGATACATGCCTTGCATCATAATTGGTTTTCCTACTATATGTTAAAAGCATATTGCTTAATTAAGGAATTTGGAATCTCTGGGAAGTTGCTGTCCTAAGGCTCCATGTACCAACATAGTATATACTGAGGTCTTAAAGTAGTCCCGACACCATCACGGTAAGGCCTAAGTATATGCCATACAAATTGTGCATGGAGCCTTAAACTCTAAAACCTCTAGAATCCTTTTAGGAGCCCTTAATGGAACCCTTAAAGGAATCCTCTGAGGTGGGATGAAGGTAGGGAGGCCCTTATAGGAATCCTTAGAGGTGGGTTTAGGGTTTAGGGTTTAGGGTTTAGGGATGAAAGTAGGGAGGATTAAGGATGCCAAGGCTTGCTGCTTCCTGCCAGCAATGGCGGATTCAACCCCGCCATTCTGCACACAGTTACATGAGCTCATCATAACCCTAAACCCTAAACCCTAAACCCTAAACCCCATGAGCTCATCATGTGGTCCTGCAGGAGGCTCTGCTGTGCTCAGTATCTCGGAGATTCGAGATGAAAGTTGCCATTTGGGGCTTGCAGGGCTCCGTCCCGACATGGCGTTCTGGGACGCCCTCCTTTTCAGCTCTAGCGATAAAACGGAATCGAAGCCACTTCACTGATGGCTTGATTCCAAAAGCCGCACACAGACCCCTGGTACAAGTCCACGTAGTCCCCAGTATACCTCTGGTATTTCAACTGAGTTGCTTTGGGAAGGGGCACCTTCCCCCTTCCTGGGCCGGGACCAACGTCAACACCTTTAAACTCGACATTCTTGAGTGCCTCCTTCACAAGCTTGTGGTGAGACAGAACCAATGGCTCCAACTTTTCCCGCGGACCCTTCATGGGATCCCAGTCATGCCACGGCTCTTGTGCCAACTGCACTGACAAACCACTCCAGGAAAATGGCTCATTCACGTCATATCTCGGACATGGCATCATTCGCCTCCACACACCGGTTCCATGCGACGATGCCTGGCATGGCTGGCAAGCAAGCGCCCGTCCGATCACCCTTATATACGGACTCTTAATTTAGGAATATCCCACCTATCTTCATCCCACCTTTTGAGGCCTCCGACTACAGGGGTACATGGAGCCTATGGGCAGTAAGCTCGAAACTACCACAGCGACAAATGCCTTGCTCCTTGGCTACCTTGATTTCTTAGGGGTCTAGGGGTTTAGGGCTTAGGGGTTTAGAGTTCAGGGTTTCGGGTTTAGGGTGGATACTTCTTCTGAGGTTCTTGGGCTCCGTCCCTTGATTAACTGCCCCTCCCCACCGTAAACCCAAACCTCTCGGCCCGAAAATCTGGACTTATCGAGGGAGTAGTAGCGGGAGATCGCGACATGCAAGACAAAAACAATCAAAAACGTATCCACGATGCTTTAGTGTAGGAGCCGGATTAAGAAACCCTGGTCCTACAACACCAAAGAATTAGAATCCAGACAAAGACCACTACTAAAGCCCCGGGGTTTTTTGCTTAATCAAGTTCCTATAGCTCGGACTGCATGAGCTGAGGCTGGGCTAGGATATCATGTTCAGGGTTTTGAGGTTTAGGGGGTAGGGCTTTGGGGTTTGGGGTTCGGTTTGGGGTTCCGCTTTTTGGGGTTTAGAGGGTTCTGGGGCGTAGGGTATAGCGTTTTGGGGTTTAGGGCTTTGGGGTTTAGGGTGTTGGGGTTTAGGGTTCAGCGTTTTGGGGTTTAGGGTTAGGGTCTCGGGTTGACGGCTGAATTTAAAGTTCAGGGTGTGATGTGTTTAGTTATACTGGTGCTGCCCAAGATGCAGACCCAACCAACCGCCTTTCAAACCCCAACCGTCCAAACGATTGTCCTCAGACTGGCGCTTCAAGCAAGTAAAAGGGCATAACTAGTAGACCACATATGGTAATTGTGGGAGGAAGGCAACAACTCCGTGAATCGAACATCGGTTGAAAGACTTCTTGCCGGTTTCGTAAGGATTCAACGGGATGGTAAGAACTGGCAGCTGCCGGCTGGTAAACCGAGATATCAGACATCCGCTGTTGATGACCCTGTGATAAAAAAAGTGATAACAATGATGACACCGATAGTACTACTACTAGCAATAATGATACATCATATTAAAAATCAAGATAAGAAAAACATTATTGGACCCCTGGTGCATAAATCCGATTTTTGAAGTGCCTTCATGTCCGCAATTCTAGTGAGGGTTCAGGCAAGGGAGTTTAGTCATGAATTGCAGTTTATTAAGCGGTTTGGTGGGTATTGGTAAATTCTGTGCTCCATAGCAGCCTGCTTAATGATTTGCAGTTTTAACCCTGTGCAAACCTGAACGAGGATTTCCTCGGCAGGTTTCGCTGGATATAACACGAGACAGCACAGCACGTACCTCTCCCCCGGATGCGTGAGCGCAGGGTTTCGGTTTCAGGTATTAATGAGTTCAGGCGTGTAGGATTTCAGGGCTTAATGGTTGAGGGTCTTGTATGATCATGTCCCGCAATTCAGCTGACGTTCAAGCCAACTGTCGAAACATTCTAAAGCCAACCTGGACCCCGAATAAGCCACCTTTTAAGGGGGTTAGGGTTTAGGGTTTAGGGTTTAGGACCCTGAATAAGTCACATTTTAAGGACTTTTACCAGGAAATCATCATACCGAACCCTCAAACGGTATGGGGTCCAGGCAAAAGTAGTACCTGCACAGGGCTAGTTGGAGCCTCGAGGCATTGGAAAGCAATCCTATTGGTATGAGATTCTTTGACGGACAGACTGAAGATTAAATGAAGAAATAATTATTCAATGGTTTACAATCTGCGCATGCCTAAGAATCTCATAATCCTATTGCTCATCACCGAAGCTGCCTCTCGCCTGTCTCTTTCAACAGCCCCTCGGCCTCCATGTGCCTATGTATATATGTATATAAACTATATATGGGAACTATATATATATATATATGTGTGTGTGTATATGTAGAACAATATCTTATATCTAAGATTATAATATATATATATATATACACCTTATGGTTGCTCTACACTACAGGGTATATCAAATACCCTTTCTTAGAGGGTACTTTAAGGCCCAAGTAGATACCATAGAGCCCTGGAGGCAGTCAAGGCAGGTAGAGAACAAAAACCATGTCCCTACGGCCGCAAGCCTTGAAAGAAATCAATAACTGGATGGCCATGTTGCAATTTAGTAATTGGGGGCACTGGGACCCTTCTGCGAATGTAGACAAAAACATAGACGCCAGAAAACGATTCATGCGCTTCCATTGACTATGCATTTGATGCAGAAGAGCCTAATTATATAGCAATCCTCTCGGAACGGGGCGCGGCAGTAGACCCTAAATTCCTGAATCCGAAACACTATACCCGATGCATGTTCGTATCTATCTATCAAGCTTGAACGGACCTTGCAAACCGATGCAAACCCTACCCGAAGCCGCCATACCTTTTGTGGGGTGGTAGTTTTCCCTGAATATAGAAATTATGCATACCATACGAGAAACAGGCTTTGATAGGTTCAGGCGAAATAATAAAGCCCTCGCGCTGTCAAGACTCGGCGTCGCCGGCCAAGCCCGCAGTGAGAGTCGCACTCGGCTTCCAAACGAGCTGCTGAGTTCGCCTTCACTGTCTGTGCGTGCAGTTCGTGTGTGTGTGTGTGCGTGCATGAGCGCGTGGTGGGTCGGTCGGTGGGTGTGTGTGTGTGTATGTATATATATATATACATATATATATATATATATATGGCGCAGCTTTAATCGTAACTATACTCGCCCAAGTACCCAATAACCATATACTCTCCCAAATAGTAACCTACACAGCTACTACCCCAAACCCAGGTAGCCAGTTCAAGGGTTCTTGGGACTCTAGGGGTAGCTGCTCACCCTAATCTTGAGGCTCCAAGTATACGAGCCTCAGCTAGCCCGCAGTCTAGAAATTAGAAGCATAGCACATCATTACATTATATGGCTACGTTATTATTTTCACCCTAAGCCCTATTGCTATACTGTTTAAATTAGACAGCTCCTGCTCTCGGACACTTGGGGTCCCGCGGGAATAATGTAATTGTACCAGCTACCTATCTACAAATATATGACCCTTGAACGATTAGAATAGGGTCTCTGAGGTAAATTATACTATAAACTTCCACAAATGTACTAAGCAACCCAAACCCTAAATTCATATACTTACTGACTTACTGACTTACTTACTTACTTACTTACTTACTTACATACTTACTTACTTACATACTTACTTACTTACTTACTTACTTACTTACTTACTTACTTCCTTATTTTGATATACACGATATTCATATACATATACATACAAATAGGCAAATAAACACATAAATATACCGAAATATATGTATGTGCATATATGTAATTACATATGCATACACACACATATATATATATGTATACAAAAACATAGTACGTCCTTCTAGGCCTGGATCCAAGCCCCTTTTTTGAAGAGGTGAAAGTGTCGTGTAAGCCTTTGCACTTTGGACACTTACGGTTCTGGGTTAGGGTTCGGGGCTGCAGTGCAATTTTGGGGGTTGTGTCAGTCGTTGCTTGTGTTACCGGTTTAGGGCTTATAGGGTTTAGACTGAAGGTTTCAGCTTCCTTGTGGGTCCAAACCTATGATTTGAAGGGTTACCTCATAATCATACACTCCCCATAAACCGCAAAGTGCTAACCCAAACCCACGAACCTGATTACCTGTTCTTTTGGAGCGTTTGCCCCGTAGTTCTGAGGAGGGGCTTCAGGACGTATAGTTCTTCTGTTTCCAAGCTTCAGCGAGTCTCCTTGCCGTCTGAAGAGTTCTAGAAGGGCTCTATACAGATTCAGAAGGGTCTACGAGGGTTGTGGTGTCCTTATTTCTGCGTCGCTAGCCATACAGGAAAGGTGCGAACATGTACGACATTTCAGGGTCAAGATATATGGCGAAAGACCACTTTTCGAAACACACCTGGACCGAAGTCAGAACAGCACATTTAACAAACGTTGGAAAGGTGATTACCCTCATGCCGTCTACGGTGAAGTATGAGAACTGCCCAGCATGAACCAGCTGTATTCCAGTTTGAATGCATGGGGTTTATAGGCCCTAAACCCCCAAACCCCCAAACCTCTGAACCCCCGTTTTACGGTCTAGGGTGTATTCCAATTTTGGTATCTCCGTGCTAGCCCTAAACTCTGAACCCATACTAGCGTCTGCACCGCCAAACCCCTCTGGTATCCGGAACCTGCAGTTCTAGGTTTAGGAGTTTGGAAGTTTAGGGGCTTGGGGTCTAAGGGTTTCGGGGTTGGTCTAAAGGGTTAGGGTTTAGGGGTTTAGGGCCTAGAAGTTTAGGGTAATCCTTGTCTGGTCTGACTGTTTTCTTGTGCAGAGGAGCCCTAGGCTCCAGGTTCAGAACACAGTCATCCCAACCCCTAAACCCTAAACCCGAAAGCGTGAACAAGGAGATTTTCGGGAACCACCCCTTCCCAACAAGCAACTAAGCAAGAGTACCAAGAGGCGCGGTTTAGGGTTTAGGGTTTAGGACCCAAACCTTGGTGCATCCAACAGTCGAGGGCTGTCTGTAGCTATAGGGCTTCTGACCCTAAACCCATGAGGCTAAAGGCTAAAGCCTGCACCCCCAACCCTAAAACAAACCTCCAAAAAAGGCAAACTCTCGGATTTGGGGCTACAGTTGCCTCTTGTGGCTTCCATGCCCAACACCTTCAGTCTCCATTGAAGTTCCTTCCCATTCTAGATATGGGACCCTGTAACTATAGGGTCACCCCAACAAGGGCACTGCAATGGAGACTACATGCAAACCCATAAGCCTGCAGGCAACATTTCCTTCAAGCAAGTAAACACCTCATCCCCAGACCGTAAACACTAAACCACCCTAAACCTAAATCCCCTAAACCCCTAAACCCTAAATCCCTAGACCGTAAACCCTAAACCAAATTGGGCGGCCAGGAAAACATCACGCACCCAAAAGCTTCATCTACGTATATAGCATATACTTAAGCCTTGAAGTACCTATATAAAAAAGGGACTACTTCCGGGGTTTAGTGAAGTTTAGAGTATGTTTAGGGTGTAGGCACATGGAGCCTTAGGGAATTCTGAACATTGGCCACGAATGCCTGTTTCGGCCGTCGCCGAAGCTCATTCCAGCCTTTGCTCACAATACCCAGGTGCAACGGGGCGTTCAGGGTCCCAAACCCCGAAACCTCATACTTTGGGGTTTAAGTGCTTGCGGGATTTACATTATAGGTGTTGGGTGCAGGGCTTCCTGGAAGGATCATGGACACTCCTAGAAATAAGGTGATAGCTTCGCAAAGCTACATAAATCAAGCAGTTGAGTCCAGAGCTTCAAGTTTAAGGTAGGGGCCAAAATAGTTACCAATACTGTTTTGTGGGGGTTCCGTATTATAGTGATAGTAAAACAGGCCCCAAAACCAGATGTTCTAATTATTGAGGCCCCTATAATAAGGCCTCAGTTACAAGCTCCTTGGCTGCTTACTAAGACCCCTGAGGCTTCAAGTAGACGTAAGCGTCCGAGTATAATATCCTCTCCCAAATAGTAAAGACAAAACTGCTATCCGTAGCCTAAGTACCGCAATATCAAATCTTTTGGACCCTGAGGGTAACGTTTACCCAGAGCCTCCAAAGTACCATCCTCATTCGCTGAACAAGCTTGCTGGCTACAATCCTACATACGGAAACAAAGTAACCACCAATAAGAATACGAAGGAGAGTGTAGGTAGCATTCTGGGAAATGCATAGACAACGATGCTACTTTCTGATAACGAACTGTGATGTAATCACGGCTCTTCCCGAATGTCATAACGCGGGCCAAGCCTGGCGTAAACGCTGAGTACTACTGCTGATGCACACGGTCCTGCACAATCCGCTATCAGAAAATTTGCGCGCACACAAACACACACGCACAGACGCATGGACACACGCACGCTCTCTCTCTCTCACACACACACACACACCGACCGATAGTTTCAGGCTAGGGTATCTGAAGCACCCAGGCCTCTGCCCCCTCAATGTAGGATCTTGCTCACAAGGAAAGTTCGTTCTGGGAGATAATAAGGCTTAAGTTATCAAGTGCTTACGGCCAGGGTCGGAAGCATTAGCAGCGGTGTTCCATGACATCCCAAATACAAAGATGCTAGGGTTAGGGCTTCCCCCAGCCCCGAAGCCTTACTCTGCCATTTCAAGGGCTTTTTGTTTCAGGGCTTCAGGTTCTAAGTTCAGGCTGCTCAGTGCTTTCGGCGGATCCAATAGTTAACCCAGCTGAGGGTGTAGGGCTTTGAGAACGCTTATAGAAGGTAAACCCTTCTACGAGATGCTGGGGCCCTGCTGGCTCCCTCCAACTAGCAAAACAGGCTCACTGGTACGGCCCTGAAATCCTATCTGGCCTGGCCAGGCTTCGCCACAATGCAGCCTTCACGGAATGCTTCAGTAACAACGTTGCGAAGATCCGGCGCCGAAAACACACTCCTTCAGTCGTGCATGTATTATCGCCTTACTTGTGCGATGAAACATATCAAGCCGTATGCCCCGAGAGTTGTAAGTGGGTGGCCTTGGGCTGGGTAAGCCTGCAGGCCGACACGCGCCCACACCAGAGCGCTGTCGTTTGGCATACCCTAAACCCTAAACCCAAACCCGAAGCCAACACCATAAGGTTGGGATATGCCAACATCCCACCTTTAAGCAAGCCCATAGAGACAGGATATCAATTATCAATCCCGACAGCCTCTGAACCCTACAGCCCTGTACACCCTGAACCGTAAGCCTTAAAAACCTAAACCCGGAACATCAAGCCCTAAACCCCTAAACCGTAAAGCCCTAAACCCGAACCCCAAGCAACTTTAAACTCTAAACCCTTAAACCCGAAACCCTAAACCCAGAACCCAGAACCCAAAAACCCTTAGCCCGCGGCCCTCTCGGCCAGGACGAAGCTCTTGGCTTCTTTGAGAAGGGCCGGAGGCAACGAGGCATAAACGCCCGCCTCGGTTTTGAAGGGTTTAGGGTGTAGGGGTTTAGGGTGTGGGGTTCAGAGGTTTAGGGTTCAGGTGTTTAGGATATATAGGGTTTAGGAACTTGTTTGACACCTCGTTTCCACCTGCCCGTTAAGTGCTTAGGGTTTAGAGTTTAAGGTTATGTGGGGTCCGGGTTTAGGGGTTTACGGGTCTGGGGTTTTAGGGTCTTAGGTCCGAACATTCTCTTACTTTGGTATCGGAAATCATCCCACCAACCATCTAAGGAGACTCTAAACTTAAACCCTCCACCAAAAACTTTGAGACCTATCCTCTGTCCGAAACTATAGAACCCCGAAAAAGGCTGAGCCCCCATAAGCCCTAAGCCCTGTAGGCTCTAGACCCCAAACAGGCTGAGCCCTAAATGCTAAGCCCCAAAACCCCAGCCAGAAAACTAGGAATATCAAACAACTGTTTAGGGTTTAGGGTTTAGGGTTTAGGGACGGATTCGTCGGCAGTTGCGACAGCTTCATGGACAATTGTGAAAAACCTCGTCCGCAACAATTACAAAACAGTTGCCGACGAATCCATTAGGGTTATAAGTCCTTTAAGTATGTACGGCGGAGAGGCTTCATGGTTTAGGGATCAAAGTTTTTTTTTCGGGTTTAGGGCTTAAGGGTTTGAGGGTTTATAGGGTTTGGGGCTTGGGCATTCTTGAAGGAACAGGTCCAAAACAACAGCAGTAAAGTAATGAACTGCCCTAAACCCTAAACCCTAAACCCTAAACCCTAAACCCTGGCCAGCCGCAATCTCTTCAGGTTCCGTGACCTGCACCCCATCACCTCGGCTTCGGAATTTAGGGTTTGGGGTTTCAGGCCGCGGACTTCTGTTTAGGGTTTAGGGTTTAGGGTTTAGGGTTTAGGGTTTCGAGAGAGAGAGAGAGAGAGAGGGAGAGAGAGTTGCAGGTTTCGGGGCTTGGGTTTAGGGTTTTAAGTTTAGGGCTTAGGGGTCTTGAGGGGAATAATAGCGGGCCAGAAATCCTCGAGGAACCTCTTTTTTAGTAGGATAGGCCAACTGGGACATCCTACACCCCAACCCTGAAATCTAAACTCCCCCCAAAACCCAAAACTGGAACACCTAGAACGCCTACACCCTACTACCCCGAACCCTAGACTGCAGCAAGGCTCTGATGGCTCTTGTTTGGAGCTTGGGTTTCGGGTGGAGGGTCTAACCGTCATTAGGGCTTCGGGTTTATTCATGGAGTTGGAGATTTCTTCCCCCGGCTCCTTTTCGGAACTATAGGGTCGAATTGCGGGGTATTCAAGTGTAAGCAACAGTGACACCGCTTTTTTGTTGGCTTTGGTCGGGTCCCCATCCCGCTCACCATTTGCAAGACCCAGCCCACGGCCCCCCCCCTTCCATGATCCTCACGACTTGGGTCGAAAAACTAATCTATCTTGAGGGGAAGAAGGTTTTTTGGGTTTAGAGTTACGGGAACGAGGCCCTTCGCCTGAGTTTGGAACTTGCAACCAAGACCGACTAACTGTGACTAAGTCGTGTTGAGGATTTTACATCGGGGCCCTTGTCATTCGACTCCTGCTTCTCTCGCTTTTGGGGGGATATTACAGTATAGCTATATAAGTTGTATAAGAACCTATTTTGGGGTTAGGATTGTTACTCATGGCTACTTCTTCCGACTCTGCAACTTTATTTGGGGTTGAAGCGCCAAGGGGTTTGCATTGCCCACGGGACGGAAAGTGGATCCCATCCTCGAACATGGGTCGAGACCTATAGACTGCATCGCCCTAAACCCTTACACCCTCATCCCTCAACCCAGGGACCCTAAACCCTAAACCCTAAACCCATCCGTCACTGGATGCCCTAAGCTCCCTTCGGGTCGATAGCTATGGACTGCATCTGTTGACTGGTAGGGCTGCTCATGGTTAAGGCTTTCAATCTTGGAGTCGGTTTAGGGTTTCGGGGTGCAACCGTATGAACTAATAGCCTAAAAATTACCACTATAACTATAACAGTACCCAATACAGACTCCAGATCCCAAAATAGGCACTATTCGTACACTTGGACTGCCAGTGCCAGGGGTAGTAACTCTCAGACTTGGCGCTGCTAGACATTCGCGCAGACAGTACGAACACAGCAAGGACTGGCACAGTCATGCCAGGGTTGTGGAAGTAGCAGTAGCAGTAACAGTAGTAGCCAGAAAGATCACCGACTGGGTCGGGAAGGAGGCTTATCTGTGCTTCAGGCGCGGCAAGTGCCCTTGGTGCCGCTGAGTGGCGGAAGATCAATGGTGCCCAGGGTTTGGATATGGCACTTAGCCCGAAGCGTGCCAGGTAGTAAGCCAGATTTGAGGCAAAGCCTTGTATATTCCCTGCGCTCACAGCAATGTCCCAGTGCATGGTGGTGTTCACAGATTGCAAAAAGTCATAAGCTTTCTTGGCACTTCCCTCATCCACGAAGTTCACGAAGGCCAGAGAAATATTCGTTGACTTCCGCGCATTGAAAGGCACATACACGAAATCCAGCTTTCCAGGGGCAGACCGATTGAGCAACATGTATACGGAGGACATGTTAAGCTCAGCAGGTACCTTGCGCAGAATGAGGGTCGTCGTTCCCTCCTGCAGCTCCTGCTCATGTCGGTCTGGATTCTGCAGTGGCGCCTTCAGCATAAACATGCTAAAGGCCCCGCTGCTCTCATTTTCGCTAGACGTAGCTTGATCCATGAGCTGCCCGTGCAGTAAGAATGGATCGCACATGTGATAATAGTATTCCAGAAATAAGGTGTTGGGGCAGGTTATAGTATAGTTACAACATGACGCCCTAAGAAATATTACTGGCATCTATGTATAGCCTGCTATATAGGGGGTTAGGGGACTTCAACCATGTATTTCTTCCATGTATTTCTTTCGGAAGGACGATCTGGATGAGGAACTGCTAGTTGCCTGTGTTGAAGGCTACGGTTTAGGGTTTAGGGTCCCGATGTCTCGAGGAACTGCTAGTTGCCTGGGTTGAAGGCTACGTTTTAGGGTTTAGGGTCCCGATGTCTCGCTGAAATATCGACCTTTACCCCTACTTTAGCTGGGTTCTTGTTCAGGAAGCTAATTTAAACTGACTGTAGCAAACAGTATGGTGTCCCAGTTCTGGCACGAGTGAACCTGAACACACGGTAACCCACCTCAAGACTCAACATAACATGGCATCCCGATTATGGTAAGTTAGACTTATTTTATACTCCCCAAAGGTCCAAGCACCTGATAACTATACAAATACTACCCTACGAAGCTGTAAGCTGTAACCCATGTACCCAATTATGTGGTGCTTTGGACCCTTGATCTTTGCAATGGGGTTTGCAAGGGCTCCGTACGTTTTCTAGATGCTGCCTACGCGGTTTCATAGGGGTTCCATACGGTATCACTGAGGGTTTGTAAGGCTCCCGGTTTAGGGTAAGGGCTATTTGGGGCTCGAGGGTTCAGGGTGCAGTGTACGATATAGGGGCCTAACTAACTACCTATACTATTTGGGGGGTTCCTTATATAGTTATTATAGTATAATATGCCAAAACCCTATTCTAATTCTAAGTATTGAGGCCCCTAAATAATGTTTTTTGTTTTCAGATCTGTCCGCTCTAGCCTTAAAGGTTCTCGCGCTTCCGACTCCAGTGGACTGGCGGATATATGGCCGGGAGGGTCCGAGTACCCAAATAGTAAGGTTTTAGGTCCCGGAATCCATACTCTGACAGTTTTTGAACCTTGAACCCCTGCTATTTGGGACTTGGACCGGGCTTCTGGCCGCGTCTAGATTGAGGGTTTAGGGTTCAGAAGTTATGGTGCGTGTCCCTAAACCCGACATAAGCCTGAATCAAGGCCTTTTGGGACTTAAGGTGGTTGTCGGGATTTACTGTTGGATGATTCCTCAGCTCCACTTCTCTAAGTCTACACCCTATAAGCCCTATAAGCCCAAAGCCGCAAACCGTAAGCCCCCACCTTCCATCGTTTCAGTTTTCAGGCGAGAGGTACGGGATTTAGGGGGTGGGTTGCATGGGAATTTGGGTTAGTTACAGTATAACAGTATCCTCCGAAACCCTATTCGAAGTCTTAATTAAAGCTTCTTGGATATGTTGGGCCTGCCTACCCTAGAAAGCCTCAGCCCTGAACCCTAAACCCTAAACCCTGAAACCCTCCCTACACCCTACAAGCCCTAAACCCTAAACCCTAAACCCTAAACCCCGAACCCTAAACCCTAAACCCTAAACCCCGAACCCTAAACCCTAAACCCCCTGAGCCTCGGCCCAAACAGCCCTAAACCCGAACCACGTATCCGAAAGCCTAACTGGGTGTTTTTTTATAAGGAGCCCCTGGGGCCCCCATTCAAGGGTTCCTCAACTGGTTTAGGGCTTAGGGCTTAGGGCTTAGGGTTTAGGGTTTAGGGTTTAGGGTTTAGGGTTTAGGGTTTAGGGTTTAGGGTTTAGGGTTTAGGGTGTAAGTATCATTTAAGGAACCCCAAAAAAGTTCCTTGAAGTGAAGGCTTCCTTTTCAGGGTTCTTTTTAAAGGAGCCCTTATGGGTTCCTTCAAGGGTTCCTTTCAGGGTTCCTTTAAGGGCTGAAACAAACCCTAAACCGCAAAATCCTGGAGTCCTAGTCCGAACTCCCCGTACACCCTAGAAGCCTTCAAACCCTAATAAGCCCGAAAAAACCCTCAAATCCTAAAACCCATCAATCCCGAAAACCCTGAAGTCCTGAAGCCCATAAATCCTAAAGCTCTAAGAGAACCCGTAAACCCTAAACCCTAAACTCCGAAAGCCCGTGCATACTAAAGAACAGTCGTTGGCATCTCCTGGCGTTCATAGAGTCGCCTTAGGCGATCTCCATGAATGGGGAAGGCAAACGTCATCAAACAGGCAATGGCCTGGCACCTTGTCCAAGGCTCTAGGGGTTCAGGGTTTAGGGATTTTTGAGGGTTTAGGGTTTAGGCGATTTCGGAGATTAGGGTTTGGGGATGTGCGGTTTAGGGATTTAGGATTTAGGGATTAGGGTTTAGCGTTTAGTGCTTCCGAGTTTAAGGGTTTAGGATTTTAGGAACAGGTTATGCGGTTATGCGGTTTGAGGGTTTCGTGGTTTAGGCTTTGGCTTAGGGAGTTAATAAGGCACATTTAGGGTTGAAGAGGGGCTCAGTTGTAGGGCTTGTGTCTTGTGTCCGGCTCCAGCGCTTCTAACACCCTCACCCTTACAGAAATCATTGAGGGAAGCATCGTGAGGCCTCGTTTGCTTCGGAGCGGGTCCGAAGGAGCAGGGGCTACCTAGACCCCGAAGAACCTACCTTTTGAAGGAATTTATATAAGGAAGCCATATAAGAAACCCTACAAACATGGGTTCTTTAGGGTCCGGGGTGTGCTTAGGGGCGGTTCCCGATTCGGAGTCACGCCTCGGATTTGAGATTGAGGGGTCTGAACAACTCACAATATCATGCCCCGACACCGTCCATACTTACGTTATGCCATCTATAGTTCAGTCCACACTAAGCTCAGCAGTTCCTGGTTGTTACCTGAAGCCCAGAAAAACTGAGATCCTCAGGGCCGAAAAGTGTAGGGTTCTGGGCCAGAGGTATGGCTTGGGTTTAGGGTTTAGGGTTTAGGGTTTAGGGTTTAGGGTTTAGGGTTTAGGGTTTAGGGTTTAGGGTTTAGGGTTTTAGGGGATACTCATGGATTTGAATCACACCGCAGAAAGGAAGGAACACTGAGCTTTCGGAAAGGACCATCTTGCTTTGTTGCCAACCCTCTATCATGAACACATCAACTCTTACCGTACTTGCCCAAAAATCGTACGCA